CAGCATTTCTATAAGTAAGCTAACCCTTTTAGAAGGAAGTAGGCAGTGACATTTATTATTTAAAACCTCAAACCTGCAAAACACCAATTCATACTATAAAGCCTACTCTTCCTTTCCTTAGCTCCCCTGTCCTGGACTGGTCTCTCTTCTCTGACAAGATGTTGGCTAACTGTCCCTGGGCTGAGAACAGGTCATTTCTCCTGCTTCTGACATGGACTTATTTCAAAGGAGAAAGAACCAATTTTCATATAGTCTCTGGGAAGCAAATCTCACAACTACGCCCAAGTGTCATGCATGAAAGGAAACACAGACTGCAGGTAATATGGATGAAGATGCCAAAGGGAGAGAGGGAAGAAGGGAGGGTGGGAGGGAGGGAGGAAGGAAAGGAGGGAGAGACAGAGGGAGAAAGATAGAGAGATAGCGACAGACAAGACAGACGAGAGAGAGAGAGAGAGAGAGAGAGAGAGAGAGAGAGAGAGAGAGAGACAGAGCGAGAGAGACAGAGAGAGAGAGAGAGACAGAGACAGAGACAGACAGAGACAGAGACAGTGAAGAGAGAGATTGCCCACTGCAGAACCTGGGCTAAGTGTAAAGCTAGATGACTGGACTGACACGACACTGGCAGTGAACACTTCCTGATTAGAGAAGTTTTAGGAGGAAAAAAAAAAAAAAAAAATACCTTCTTCCTCTTCACTGACTGCATTATCTGCATTCCTATTTTTCCCTTCACTTTCTCTATCTTAAACACTTCACCAACTACAAAACTCAGTATCACTAGTCTATATTTCCTGATATTCCAGCAGCAAAGTCAGAGAAGGTTCTCTGCTGGCAATAAAATCCATGGTGAGAGAATAGGACTTGCAAAAAAAAAAAAATACAGATCAGTGTTTTAATTTAATATGTACAGACTAACCTAACCAAGAAGGCACAACTTTTAGATTTTTAATTTAATATGTACAGACCAACCTAACCAAGAAGGCACAACTTTTAGTTCCGCAAAAACTAAAACTTAAATGATGTCGTGGGTTTGAATAAATGGAAGGACATTCTAAGTTCTTGGAAGAGAGAAATTTAACATTATGAAAGGGTCAATTTTCTCCAAATTAATCTATACAATTCAATGTAATCTCAAATGATAACTTAATTTATTGAGGAATTTAAAGGCCCACAAATAGCTAAGTCAAATCATAAAAAGGAGAGGAAAAAGAAGGGCCTTAAATTGCCAGGCACTAAGATTTGATCCAATGTCACCAAAACAGTTTAACAGACCAAGAAAATAAAGAGCTCAAAGTGACAATGCAAAGTGCATACCTAACATAAAAGACCATGCGCCATCAATCAATGGGGAGAAAATCAAGAGCTTAGTAGATGTTAGTGAGAAAACTAACTCTTCATATGCATAAAAAGAAGACAGGATCTTCATGAAACATCAAATACAGTACAATTAGAAACCTAAATATAGGGGCTGGGGAGACGGCTCAGTAGAACAAATGCTTCTCTGGCAAGCCAAGGGTCTGAGTTCAATCCCTGGTTCCGCAAAAAAAAGAAAAAAAGAAAAAGAAACCTAAATATATGCTGGGTGTGGTGGTGCACACAGATTGTTGCAAGTTGGAGACCAGCCTTGGCTACAAAGTGAGCTCAAGGCCAGCCTGAACTATATAGTGAGACCCTGTCTCA